AAGTTTTAAATCGTGGTTTTAATGAGGATTTTTGGAACCAGGCTCCTCACCCCTTCCCAAACTAGTTCTCGCCTGGGGAGAAAGAAAGGTTTGGGGGATTTTTGGTGAGATCTAAATGTCCCGCCAAGCCTTCTGAAACGGTGCTAAGTTTGGGGTCTCTGCCGAAATGAGGCTGGTTGTGGTTTATGGGGGCGAGCCAGGGGGCTTCTCTGCCCCACCACAAAAACACCTGCCCTGGGTCACTGCTCGGTAGCAGCCCTGGAGCGAGCAGCAGCGAGGAAAAAAACCCAGTAGTAATAATGATCACCATGCTGCCGCGCTGTAGGTGGGCGCGCTGAAGGCTGAGCAGCCGATGCTGCCACCTACTGCCCTGTGACACTGCTGTCCCCTTTAACGCTGCCAGGGCCAGAAGTGCCCAAAGACCTCTTAGCCCGGCTTGCGCAGCCAGGGACCAACGCCCCAGGGTCTGGCTGGGCATGGGGACGTCCTTGGGGGCATGGGGACGTCCTTGTCACCACGCTTCTGCCCAGCTTTCTGCATGCCCCGGGGAATGCTGCTGCTCTCCCATCCCTCCCCGCTACGCTGCAGCTCCTTGTGCCCCGCGGGCTGGCTGGCTGCCCCCCCACCCTACCCCCCCAACCTTTTTTTGTTTCATCTCATCCCCATCTCACCATTGCCACCTTCACCTTTTGTTTTCTAACTTTGTTTTTCCTGACAGATAAAAGAGTTCTAAGCGAACCCAAAAGCCACCGTAAGTGCTCATTTCATGGCCATTTTCTTCCGTTGCGAGGCATTGCTTTGGTTTTGTTGTGTTTGCAGCCATGGTAGGGCTTCCTCGGCAGCTGGGGAAGGACAAGGTGGGGAGAGGGAGCAGCTGAAGCCTGCCCCAAAACTCCTATGTACATCAAATCACACGCTCTGCTTGAACCTATAAATACGACCTGCTTCTGCACCCCTACGCCCGTCCCCCTCTTGCTGCCTGCAGTTCTTGGGTGCACCACGATGCAGCCAGTGTCCCACCACCAAACCTTCTCCAGGCATCGTCACGCCCCGGCGAGGACTCCCATCCTCGAGTTGGGGGTCCCAGGGTGCATCAGGGCTCCCATTTCTGGCATCCAAAGGTGGGGGGGATGGACAGACGTGGGGACAAGGGGACACCTCCCAGAAGTGGCATAGTCCTAATGCTGTTGAGATGGCGCTGGGCTTAGGACAGGGCTTCACTCCAGCGCAAAACCACAGAACCCAGGAGGTGCGGGCGAGCGTGGAGGGAGGAAGGAGGGAAGGATGGGCTGAGCGGGCTCAGCTCCCGCTGACGGAGGCTTTACCATGCTCTGCCTGCCCTCTCCTTTCTGGGAAAATATATCCAAGCTACGCCAGGCGTTTAAAGATGGAGAGCCTTGTGGCAGGGGAAGGGAAGGCAGGGAAGCTGAGGGGTGTCTCAGTAGATACAGCGAGGCTCGATCTTTCTGGATGGATGCATAGCTGAGGTACATATATATGAGATGCATGGGTAGGTGTTATGTTTACTCCTCAGGGTTGTCTCTGTTAGGATGAGAGGGTTGGTAGCTCCATTAATCCAACCTGTGCAAACTTAATGTTTCTGGGCTTCTTGGTGCTCAAGCAAAGTTTGCACGAGCCATGGCAAGGTGTCCTTCAGAAGTTTGAGGAGTTCACCCCCATCTCAGTCTCTGGCATTGCTCTGACTGCTCTTAGAAAACACCCTCCATCCTCCTGCCACAGCCTTTCTAGCAGGCCCAGTACACATCGTCCCCTTCATGCCTGTGTCCTGAGTTAGCAGTCGGGCTGGGGAACACCGGTGGGTCTCTTGACGTGCATTTCTGGTGCTCCTTTAGTCACCTCTGCTGTTTCTGTCCTTCCCAGTGCTGGAGGCCACAGGTGACGTGGCCCTGTACGCCGGGCTGGTGGTGGCCATTTTCGTCTTCATCGTGATCCTCATGGCTGTGGGGGTGGTGGTGTACCGGAGGAGACGCCGGGATTTTGACACGGACATCACAGACTCATCAGCCGCTCTGACCGGAGGCTTCCACCCCGTCAACTTCAAGACCTCCCGGCATGGTAAGAGCCATGGCCCATGCAGGTCCTGCTTGCCAGCTCAAGCCCAAGCAGAAAGAAAGTCACGCTGCAAATCACAGTAGGGGACTGGTGAACCTGCAGCCCTGATTTTCTGGGGGAATATGCTGATCCAGTAAAACACTGGAACAGGTTGCCCAGAGAGGTGGTGGAGGCCTCATCCCTGGAAACATTCAAGGCCAAGTTGGATGGGGCTGTGAGCAACCTGATCTGGTTAAAGGTGTCCCTGCTCCCTGCAGGGGGTTTGGACTAGATGACCTCTAGGGGTCCCTTCCAACCCAAAACATTCTATGATTCTATGATTTTTGAAGGCCGGGAGCTCCGTGCAGGTGGGCAGAGGTGTTAATGGTGGGAGTCGGGGCAAAGCACCTGCAGAGCAGAAGCGGTGGGGCTTTACTGCGGGATGCTGCTCCCCGCTGAGTCATGGTGCTGAGCAGTTCCTCCCCAGGTGCCCGCTGGCAGGCAGATGGATGTAGCCCAGCGCCGTACCCACCGTACCTCCTGCGCACCCTCCATCCCTTGCCGGGCGAGGAGGGCTTTCCACAGGCATCTCTTCCAGCCAAGCAGTGCTTTTACATCCCCTTGTTCCCACTGCCCTCTTCATCCCATCCGTGTTTCCTCCTCCCGCAGACAACCCTCAGCTGCTGCACCCCTCGATGCAGCCGGACCTGACGGCCAGCGCAGGGGTGTACCGGGGCCCCATGTACGCCCTGCAGGACTCCTCCGACAAGATCCCCATGACCAACTCCCCCCTGCTTGCCCCCCTCCCCAACCTCAAGATCAAGGTGTACAACTCCTCCACCGCCTCCTCCTCGCCGGGGCTCCACGAGGGGACGGATCTGCTCGGGGGAGGGGTCCCTGCCACCGGCACCTACCCGGGGGACACCACCAGGGACGGCCACTTCGCGAACATGCGGAGCAAAGCCCTGGGCTCCCAGCATCTCCTCAACTCGCCCCGGGAACATGGCAACAGCGCCAGTGGCACGTTTGGCTACCTGGGGGGAAGGCTCACCATCCCGGGCACTGGTAAGCCCCCAGGCTGGGGAGGGGGGCGCGTTTGGTGGTGCTGAATGATCAAGGAGTTGCTCTTGTCCCGGCAGACTTGCCTGCCATGAGCAGCCCTTTGCTGTCCCAAAGCAGGCTCAGGGGAGGAAGGCAGCAAGCCACTCCCAAGCCAGGCTTCTCAGGCTGGAGGTCACAGCCTCCTGGGACTTTCCTGGCCGGCCCTGCCATCGATCCAGGGCCAGTGCCTTGCAAAAAGATCCAACCTGAGGTTTTGCTTCCTGATGCAGTGGCCTGGCTCCTCCCTGCAAGTGGTGCAGCTGAGGAACATCTGGAGATGTTTCTCCCTGGGGTACTCCGGGCTGCCCTAGCTCACCGCTGTCCTCGTGCTGGCTGGCCAGAGTGGAGGGGAGGTTTCTCCTTGGTGGTTCCTCCCCTGTTTTGTGACTAACGCCTGTGTGTGCCATGCTAGGGGTGAGCCTGCTGGTGCCCCACGGGGCCATCCCCCAGGGGAAGTTCTACGAGATGTACCTGGTCCTCAACAAGGCAGAGAGCGCCCTGTAAGTTGCACCGCGCCGCCCGTCCTTCTGCTCTCTGTTGGCCGCCGTGAGGCTTGCTTTCCAACCAGTGTCCCCCTCTCCCCCCATCCCCAGCCTGCCCTCCGAAGGCACGCAGACGGTGCTGAGCCCGGCGGTGACCTGCGGACCCACTGGCTTGCTCCTGTGCCGCCCCGTCGTCCTGACCATCCCCCACTGCGCCGATGTCGGCTCCTCGGATTGGATTTACCAGCTGAAAACGCAGTCCCACCAGGGAAACTGGGAGGTAAGGTGGGAACCCTGCAGCTAGGGAAGACCCCGAGCGCTGTGGGGGCACAGTCCCCAGCAAACCCCTCCCCGGACCACGGGCTGCCCCCCAGCCTTGATTTCCCATCTCTCCCTGTAGGAAGTTGTGACCCTGGATGAGGAGACCCTCAACACTCCCTGCTACTGCCAGCTGGAAGCCAAGTCCTGCCACGTTCTGCTGGACCAGCTCGGCACCTACGTCTTCGTGGGAGAGTCCTACTCCAGGTCAGCCATCAAGAGGCTCCAGCTGGCCATCTTTGCCCCCACCGTTTGCACTTCCCTGGAGTACAGCCTCAAGGTCTACTGCTTGGAGGACACGCCGGATGCTCTGAAGGTAACGTCACCTCGCGATGCCGGCACAGGCTGCCCCTGCTTCCCAAAGCTGTTCCCGCCAGCGGCGAGGTGCTGCCAGGTCCCTCGCAGGATGGCCTGGCCCCTGGGAGCAGACAACCTGATGCAACCGCCTGCAAAGTGACCACGGTGAAATAATAAGCGTGTTTACTGCTTTCCCCGTCGTCCCTCGCCCTCTCCAAAGGAAAGAACGAGGGTGTTGCTTAGCTCCTTTCTGCAGACATCACACGAGAGGTTTTGCGGCTGCTGGGGGGGTTTTATCTCTCCTACGCAAAAAAAAAAAAAGCCACTTGCTGCTGTGATTTGCCTCGGTTTTCCATAGATCCTGTTATTCCTGCCTGGAGGCCCCTCCTTGGGAGGCTGCTGGCACGGATAGCATCACGTGCAGCATGAGGAGCTTGAGTTGTGATGCTTTGCCTGCCTGGACCACCGGCACGGTGGCTGTTTATATTCCCCGTGACTTGTCCAGGGGTGTCAGGGTTGCTGTCGTGCCTCTAGGTGGGGATGTCGGCAGCGGGATTTGCATTTTTCTCCTAAGAGTTGCTGGTGTAATAGTGGGATGGTGTTAAAACCAGACTGGGTGTTGAAGACCCTCTAGAAGAGTGCCACTGAAGCGTCCAACCTTGGCGTTGGACCCTTGCATCCTCTGAGGAGTGGAGAGGCCTGTTCATGGCTTACAAAACCCAAGTTGGAGGTTGGGCTGTTGTGTGAGACGAGTTGGCGAGTTGGTTGAGGGCGGCTGTTGGGGAGGCAAAGGCTGCTCTCCTGGGGAGGGCTCCTGGTGGGCTCGTTGCTGCTGCTGCCTCCTCTAGGCGGGAACGCGCCTGGCTTTGGGTAGGGAGAGGGGAGAGGAGCTGGAGCTGGAGCGGACGCTGGGCGGGTACCTGCTGGAGGAGCCCAAGCCCCTGCCCTTCAAGGACAGCTACCACAACCTGCGGCTCTCCATCCACGACATCCCCCACGCGCTGTGGAGGAGCAAGCTGCTGGCCAAGTACCAGGTGAGGGGCTGAGGTGGGGGCGGCCGGGGTCCCAAACCGACACCACGGGGTTGTAGAATCATAGAATCATAGAATGTTTTGGGTTGGAAGGGACCCCTAGAGGTCATCTAGTCCAACCCCCCTGCAGTGAGCAGGGACACCGCTAACTAGATCAGGTTGCTCAGAGCCCCATCCAACCTGGTCTTGCCTCCAGAGTCTTGCCTCCCAAAGGGATGGAGGGGGAAGGGGGGGGGGAACAGTTTTCACATGGTCTTTCCTGGTGGGATGCTGTCTGTGGGGTCCCTCTGCCCCATCTCATGCCCACGGGGTGGCCGGAGGAGGTGGGATCTCCCGAGGGAACTGCTGGAGCCTTGGCCAAGTCTGTGCTTTGGGGGTCTGCAGGAAATCCCCTTCTATCACATCGGGAGTGGCAGCCAGCGAGCCCTGCACTGCACCTTCACGCTGGAGAGGTACAGCCAGGCCTCCACCGAGCTCACCTGCAAGATCTGCGTCCGGCAGGTGGAAGGGGAAGGGCAGATCTTCCAGCTCCAAGTCA